AAAATTACAACTTATATTTTAAGATTTTCATCATACCACCTATCTCTAAATGTGCTTATAAATATCAGTGTGTTTAAATTTTCTTTGTCGTCTTTGCACAGTGAGATCGACAAAAACATTGACAATATGACTAACCTGCGACGAGAAAAGTGGGTGATTGAGGGGAACCTGCGGAAGTAAGACACTTGTTTATGCCATCACATAAACATACATATTTCCTTACTGATCTTCCCCTAATAATGTAAAACACAAATTAAATTTCACATAGTGGTCACTAGTCTTCCTGTGGTCCATAATACACAGTTCCCAATTTTTTAATATGACATATAAAGATATACTATTGCAATCATATTTCATTCACCCTGCATTTGAATATTAGGAAATTATTCATAAAACAATGTCATTTTACTGCTGCAGCATTTAATTTACTCAGAATAAAAAGCACTGTTATAATGCTATATCTAGTTATAATGTGATTATGATGTTCTGTTCAGCTAGATTGTAATGCATCATGTTCTTTTGGCCGTTGTTGTTCTTCAGGCTGAGAAGCATCTATGCTAAGAGGACGGGAAAGCGGGAGAGCAGCGTTGGAGGAGAGGAGGCTCAGTTCGCCGGTGCGTCTGTGAACAGTCGTAAACGCAAGCGCAAAGGAGGAGAGAGTGACGAAGATGATGAGGAAGACGATGACAGCGATGAACAGGGAGAGGAGGATGAGGATGAAGACGATTTTTGTGGGAAGAAAGGGAAGAAAGCCGAGGCATGTGAAGATGAGGTAGAGTGTTTTCATTTTGATTTTGATCATTTTTTCTTTGGTGAAAGAAATACATAAATGAAGAAGAAAGCCAAAATATTAAATGCCATGGATGAATGTTTACGGAGTAATCCACTATTTTGTATTTTGTATTTTACAATGGTCACCTGAGATTTGGAGCCAAATTACAGGGTAGGAGAAATGGCCTCAGAAAGATGGCAGCATCATTATGTTATTTTTACACAGAGATTGGTGGGTCTATTAGTAAAATCTGTAGACTTTAGCAATACTTGTTGCATTAAATGCCAATGGGGACAGTTCAAAAATGGGAAAAAGCACTTTTTTTCCTAAAGTTTGCATGTCTTTATATCAAAAAATATTAAAGAGATCTTAATATCCTTTTAGATTTTGGTTCTTGACAACATTTTCATTTTCATTTTATGGCCTTACATGGTTCATTCCCAGATATATGGAGATTTTGATGCGGCTTTGTGTGCAGATTGTTGAATTTTAACCCATTTTCAATGGTCGAAAAACAAATGTGGTCACTTTGCATGTTGGTAATACTTATCTATTTATCTTTCTTCAGAGAAAATATGAACAAAATCAAAAATTGTATCTGGGGAAGTTTCTGAAATTTGGTTGATTTGATACGTAATGACCCAAATGTATGTGTTCGAAATGTATTTATCTGATGTTAGATGTTCAGAATGAGTCATTTTTTGCAGTTTAGTTTTAGTAGTGATCTCTTTTTTGCACTGAGAATGAGGTTTTGAGCTCTAAAAGTTGTTGTTTCTCAAAGGTGATGTTTCAGCAGCATGTCAGCTGTTCTTGGTCTTGTTTTGCAGGACGAAGGTGATCAAATCACAAGCACTGAAGAGCTGGAGAGGCAGATCGAGAAGCTCAGCAAGGTAAATGAATATCAGGATGTGAATCTCACCATATGTTTTTTGTTGAGTATCATATTTGTTACATCAGGCTTTTATGGCTCGTATGATATAGTGAGAATATGGAGGAAGAACACCTCAGTTTTATTCAGAGGCCCAAACTGAGCAAAAATAGCAATTTGGTGGAGATGCTGATATTTATATGGCCAAAAAATACATTCTGAAATTCTGATGCTTGTAATGTAAATCAATGAGATCTTTATAACAGTATTAGCAGACTAAATGATACAAACATCAGTCGTCACTCTATATCTCCCCATAATGTTTTAGTAAGATGAGATTTCAGTGTTTAGTTTTATGAACAAAACATATAATGCAATGCAATACAATGATGACTGAGATGAACAAAAACATTCCTCAAAAGCCTGATGATCATATTTGAGACATTTTCTAAAAAAAAAATGATTTATGGATAATTAAGTAAACCTAAGCTGCTTCAGTCCAGTAATTGTTCATCGTGAAATATTATTAACGATAATACAGTTATTCCTACATTTACTTCATAAAAATCTGCAAAAATGTCACGGTAAAAAGACACGTGGAGCACAAGCTGAAGGTGGACGTTTGTACAATTACACTAAAATACCTTTTACTCGCTAAAAATGTCTAAACTATCAATCAGACAACAGAAGGCATGTAGTAGATTGTGTAAAACAGGTTTTTCATGATGTTTTGATCATGATGATGCCTTAGAAATTTGCTTTAGAGGGTTACAGGTCTGTATGTGAATAAATCTGAATGACAGTCAGTCCTTTTCTTTATGATTGGATATTATTACACCAGCCTAAAATGCACAACCACCTGAGACCCTGCAATAAATGCATAAGAGATATCGAACAAAAAATCTTGATATTGTATGTCATCCGTAGAGGATATCAGGAATCCGTTATTAAGAAAATGAAGGCAAGACACCACAGGCAAAATCTAATTAAATTCATTAAAAACAAACGTCCTCTATAGAGGACAAAAATGAGATATCAGGAATCCGTTATTAAGAAAATGAAGGCAAGACACCACAGGCAAAATCTAATTAAATTCATTAAAAACAAACGTCCTCTATAGAGGACAAAAATGAATAGCTGGGTCCCAGGAGGATAACATGCCTATACTTGCTGTAACTAAATGTGTGCTGAAATGACTTGACCGCTTGCATATTTCCAAATATTTTTAGTAAAGAGAGGGGAAATAGAATATATCTGTCTGATTGATTCTCTTCCAGCAGCAGACTCAGATCCGTCGGAAGCTCTTCGAGGCCTCTCATTCCCTGCGCTCCGTGATGTTCGGTCAGGACCGTTATAAACGACGCTACTGGGTTCTGCCGCAGTGTGGCGGGATCTTTGTGGAGGGACTGGAGAGCGGAGAGGGTGAGAGAGTGAGACTGAATGAGATCATGATGTGAAGACAGGAAAAAACAGAAGCCGGGTGGAATCTTTTAAACCGAAACAGAAAAGTATTGTTTTACAGAATTAGAATGTAATTCTTTGATTATTTACTCACTCTCATGTTGTTCCAAATCCTGGAGAATTGCCTATAAAATCTATACAAGACTTTTTAAACCTTTTTAAGCTTTCAGACAATACTGTCAAGCCAACATTCAGAGTGTCTTGTATGGAAGCAAAACAACCGTTTCCAACACTGAAGAAAAAATAAAACAAGGTACTTGCCACTTTTTATCTCGCAATTCAGACTTTTTTTTCTTGCACTTGCGAGTTTACATCTCCCAGTTCCTCCTTTTTTTTTCTCAGAATTGCAAGTTTATATTCTGCAATTCTGAGAAAAAAAGGTAGAATTGGGAGATGGATATAAATTCGCAATTGCGAGTTATAATGTCAGAATTGCAAGTTTACATCTCGCAATTCTGAGAAAAAAAATCTGAATTGTGTGATAAAAAGTAAGTTACCTTGTTTTATTTTTTATTCAGTGGCAGAAATGGGCTTCCATAATCTTGACCAGGTTATTATAGTTAACTAAAATAGTAATAATAATAATAATAATAATAATAATAATAATAATAATAATAATAAAAGCCTATAATAATAAGAAGAAGAAGAAGAAGAAAAAATGATCATTTTTGTTTAGTTTAACTTGATTTACTAAAATAACTAAAACTGGAATAAAAATTAATAAAAACTATATAGACATATTAAAAAAAACAAGAAAAATTTAAAAAAACACGACAAAGTTGCTAAAGCTTTAACAAACTGAAAATATACACTATAAAAACTAATTTAAAATAGTAATAAAAACTATAATAGTATCTCAAATATACTAAAAAACATTTTGACAAACGTCCCTTTTCTAATTAAAAATGACACATTTTGTGATTGATTTCTGAAGATCATGTGACACTGAAGACTGGAGTAATGAAGCTGAAAATGCAGCTTTGATCACAGAAATAAATTACATTTTACAATATATTCAAATAAGAAAACTTTCTTTTAAATTGTAATATTATTTCATAATATTACTGTTTTTTACTGTATTTTTAACCAAATAAAAGTAGACTTCTTTCAAAAAAATCTTAATTATTCCAAACTTTTCATTGGTAGTGTGTACAGTATATATACATATGTATAATATATAAGCAATATTATAAGAAATATTGAAGCAATATATAAAATAACTGACTTGATTTTTTTTACTTTTTTTTTTTTTTTTACATGTCCAGTTGTTTTATTGGAACTAACCATTGTATAAATGTGCTGCTAGTGATGATGATGATGCTATTTTGTGCTTCTTCAGGTCCAGAGGAATTGCAGAGAGAGCGTGAGAGGATGAAGAACGCTCACCTCGTCCAGGTCAAAGAGGAGCCGACAGAAGAGCCTGATGAAAAATGCGGCACCGCTGAGACGAAACCTCCGCAGGATGTAGATTCTCTCAACCTCTTCCTGCAGAGCCCGGACTCTTTCTCCAAGCTCAGCAAGCTGTTGGAAGTGGCCAAGATGTCTTCTGAGGTCTCTTGTCACCAATACAATAGCCCAAAACAGCAGACTACGTTACCCAGAAGTCCTAATCATGATGTTAAACCTGATCTCCACAACACCACCTACCTCACTAACGCCCAGCAGCAGATCCGTAACGAGCAGCTTTACAAGGTTCTGACAGAGAGAAACACTCACTGGTTCAGTCTGCTGCCTCGCTCTCCATGTGACGTCTCGTCTCTGACTGAAGGTCCACATTCAGCTTCATCTTCCTCACCACAAACCACAGCGGTCTCTGCCGGCCCCTACAGCGCTGCGGGGATCAATAACTTTTCATTAGCAGCACTGCAGGTATGATCGGGGATTTTTTTTTTTTTTGGCTGCCAAACCCCTTAAAAGTAAAAAATATTTACCTGAAGTCCCCCTGACGTTTTAGGTCTATATTCCACAATTTAATGTCACATTTGCATTTTCACAGTTCTCTGATGTTGGTTAATGGTCACATGACATGCAAGTAAACAGATTAAATATTTCATTTTTTAGCAAGTGTTTTAATTTTTAAATTATATATTTATATAGGTCTACTCCTATATAAGGCTTTATTATTATTATTATTATTATTAATATATTGTTTTAACTCTAATTATACAAATAAATATATTAATAAAAATATTACTATATAAGACAGTAATAAAATATATTACTGTTGTAAATTACAATTAGTTTTTATTGTTTTTATTTTACATTTATGTATATATAGGACTGCACATATAAAGGGCTTATTATTATTTTTATTTTTTATTTTTTTTTTACTATTATTTTTATTATTATATCTTTTTAACCCTAATTATAAATAGGCATACCCCTATATAGGGCTTTATTATTATTATTGTTGATGTTGTTGTTGTTGTTAACACTATAAAAATAAAGATGTAATAAATATATTACTTTTGTAAATTGCAATTTGTTTTGATTTTTTTTATTATTTATATATAGGGCTGCATGTATAAAGGGCTTGTTGTTGTTTCAGCTCTTAATGATAAACTAAATATTATATAATTCATTATATAAATATATCACTGTTGTAAGTTACACTTGTCCTGTAAAAAACAAATATTTCATAATTATATTTATAAATAATTTGTAATATACTATATATTAAATAATATTATATACTGTATATTATATGATATAATTTTATATGTAATTTATATATTAAATATAATACTTTTTTATTTTACATTTTAAGTTACAGTACTAATATATGTGACCCTGGAGCACAAAAGCAGTGTTAAGTCGCTGGGGTATATTTGTAGCAATAGCCAACAATACACTGTATGGGTCAAAATTATTGATTTTTCTTTTATGCCAAAAATCATTAGGACATTAAGTAAAGATCATGTTCCATAAAGATATTTTGTAAATTTCCTACAGTAAATATATCAAAAACTTAATTTTTGATTAGTAATATGCATTGCTAAGAACTTCATTTGGACAACTTTAAAGATGATTTTCTCAATATTTAGATTTTTTTGCACCCTCAGATTCCAGATTTTCAAATAGTTGTATCTCGACCAAATATGGTCCTATCATAACATACATCAATGGAAAGATTATTTATTCAGCTTTCAGATGATGTATAAATCTCAATTTCGAAAACTGGTCTGACTGGTTTTGTGGTCCAGGGTCACATTATATATTATATTATATATTTTAAACTTTTCACTTTCAAACATTCAAATCCTAAAACCTTTATTTTGGCGGAATATTGGTGAAATTCTGTAAACTTCTATTCACAGAAATGGTGCAAATTATGCAAACGTGTAAATAAAGTGAATCTAGTGCACGTTGCATTCCCAAAAAGCATATACTTAATTTAATTGCAGCCTTTGATTTGATATTCTCACTAAGCTGAATTGCGATTTCAGTTTTATTTCGATTAATTGTGCAGCCACATTTATTAATTTATTATGAGATTCGGTTTAACTATTCGCTTTTCATCATCTCATGAACCCCATTTGTGAAACCCAGCTTAGACCTTATATATTTTGCTCTTTCTGTATTTGTGTTCTTTGACTAACAGCTCCCCTGTGTTTGCAGATGAGGTCCGGCGTGCCCATGATAGATCTGCCCTTCTGTGTTTGGTCCAGTGGAAATTTGAGTCCAGACATGATGTTCTCTGGGGTTTCCATGGCTCAGATTCTCAGTGGTGTTCACCCATCCTCAGAGGGCAGTGGAAACCTGAATGACAGCAAGAGTGATTCCCCAGAGTCTCCAGCGGAGAAACCCCTCTCCACACCCTCACCTGTGATCGAGGTGCATAAAAACCAGGATTACCCATCACCTCAACCTATTCCTGAAGGTAAGGCTGGGAGATAACACATCTTGAGAGTGTTAAGAGGTTTATTTTATTATTACTGTTATTTTTTTAGTACAGCCGTCTGATTCATTTCTTTGAATCAGTTCAAAGTTCCATTCAACTGAATCGAGTCAAAGTTCTGATTCAAGGATTCATTTAAGTCATCACTTAAAAATCGTCATGAGATGTTCAAAGACTCAGTGTGGCATTTTCATATTAAAAGGTTTTATTAAAAATATATTTAGGTGAATATTGTAAACATGATTATATTATATCTTTATGATTTTGAAAGAAGTCTCTTCTGATCACCAAGGCTGCATTTATTTGATCAAAAATACAGTAAATACAGTAAAAATTGTGAAATAATATTACAACTTACAATAACTGTTTTCTATGTGAATATACTGTAAAATGTTTTAAAAATGTATTCCTGTGATCAAAACTGAATTTTCAGCATCATTACTCCAGTCTTCAGTGTCACATGATCCTTCAGAAATCATTCTAAGCAACTTTTTCTTATTATTATTATTATTATTCACACACAACAACAACAATAATAAACAGTTTTTGCTACTTAATATTTTTATGTAAACCATTTTTTTTTTTTAAGGTTTATTTGATGAAAAAAGTTCAAAAGAACAGCATTTTTTGTTTTAAATAGAAATATTTTGTAACATTATAAATGTCTTTACTGTCACTTCTGATCAATTTAATGCATCCTTGAACAAAAAGTAGCAATTTATAATTGGAATGGTAGTGTATTATAAATTAATATATAATTAATATAATGCTTTAATAAAGAATATATATATATATATATATATATATATATATGT